ACAGAGAGCCAAGACACAAAAACATCACACGCTCGGAAAGACAACGAATGCGAGGGGCGAATGGGCTGTTAGGTAGGCTACTCCGTATCTCTCGCCCAGACTTTGCCATCCCGGATTAGAACAATGCCCATCTGACAGGTTTGAAACCGTTAGTGCCCAGGTGAGCTTATGTCGATACCGAGCTAGAGCACCCAGGCGGCGCGCACCTTGGACCTTGGTGCTTAGGTGAACGCTAGAACTGCCCCATGAGATGCCCTTCAATCCCTGAGATACGACGAAATAGAGTGGTTTCGCAGGTCCAAGCGTGGGACTGTGTATGAGAGATGCTTATCTTGAAAATGCCTATTGCAATATCGCAACCCTGCCCGTTGAACGTTTAGCCGGCCCGGCCCTGGTGTTAGTTAGCCCAGACGACACTTCGATACGATGCCATCCAGTCTCGAGGAGGGGGCGCATGGGACTCGTTAGCGTGCAGCTGCAGCGCTCGCTCAGCACGAATACCTTGGTTTTTGTCATCGCAACGGCGGGCACAATTCTTGGACGGAGGAGGCTGGAGTAGGAAGCCTGTGCTTGCTGATCTTTTCCTTGCCGCAGAGCTGTCATTCTGCTCCACTCACTGCCAGACGCACACGCAATAGTTATCGTTCCTACGTGGACGCACAAAGAACGGCTGGCTGTCTGTATCATCGCGGAGCTCGAGCCACTTGACCCCAGAGCTGGGTCAGCATCCTTTGGCCCAACCGGAACTGGTGAAGCAAGCAAGGTTGCGTCCCTGCCACAGAACGACCAGTGACGATCGGCGAGAGAAAGAGTCCAGCAGCGGCTTGCCAAACAAGGCAACTCCCGCAAGCGTGCAGATAGCGCACGGAGGGGAAGTGTTCGCCGCAGGTTCGGCGCTGCTTGTTGCGCCCAATGGGCAGAGGGCTAACGCTGCTAGTCTCGAGTCCGGTCTCCAGCCATCTCGGTGATAGTCTGGGGCTGCCATCTCCATGACGGACGGGAGGCCCCACCACGGGACACGCGTATCTCACACTAAACCCGTACTAGAAGCCTAGCGACCCGTTCCAGGTATGGAGTTGGTCAAAACGTGGAGAACAATGGCAACAGACATGCACCAGCAGCGACAGTCTGGTGTCCTTGGTTGTGATAAGGGAACTGGGGAAAAATCCCATCTTGTTTGGAGAGGTTGGGGCGGCTTGATTTGCTTGATTGTCATGTTTCGCCCCCCCTTCGCCAGACGCAATCCAGACGATCAGTCCAAGATGGTTAGTGAAAAGAAGGAAGAGAGGCCCACGATGCACTAATCAACGGAGCGCCGCGCCCATCTCTGAAGGAACATGAGGTAAATTGATACACAATCCTTTTCCGAGCTTACCGCGCCAGCCCCCGTGGCATCCGGCATTTGCAGTTCTTTAGTAAGGAAAAGAAAAACCACGTTGTAGGATTGGTCTGAGACATGTCGAATGAGGCAATGAAATGCCGTTTCACCCTCGACATTCCAAGAGACTTCGTGCTAATCCCTTCTCGAGGCATTGCCCCCTGCAACTAAAGCGCTCTGCAAACCTGGTTCCTTGGAGGGGACGATCACTGCGCGCGCAGAAATGGTGTGTACACATTTCCTAGTTCAACCAGGTGCGACCCAGACCCAGTATGCCTTGTGACGACAGCGAGCATTGCCCAACCAACTCCTCTTGGCTTCGCATCGGAAGCTGCATATTGCCTGGCACCACACGACGACGTAGTTGTCGGCTCGCAATCGACCCTTTATCAGTCGGCGTGGGTGGCATTGACCGGCAAGGGTGGCAACTAGGTAGCCTCTTTCGCCCTGGTCCCCCCCGGTCAGTCTGCAAGATAGCAATGCCCGTGGGTGGGGAGGCATGCTCGACGGTGATTTGCCCACCTCGAGCAGCTCCTCCGCATCTCAGAAACATTACGCTGCACGTCGTACCGAAAGCAGACTAGTCGCTATACAGCCTGCCATCTGGCTGCGACAGCGATGGCGAAAGAGTCTTGGCACCGGGGCCAGTGTGCATGGGGATGACCGGGGCGGACTGGGAACTGTCGATTCTCCCAACTGCAACTGCAAGATCTTCCGGATCCATGCTTCTTCTGGCTGTGCCTGCGCATTGGCTTGGGGCTTTGGATCAAGAGTTGGGATCTGTGAGAGGCGAGGAATGGTCTCGGGTTGTGTGCCCAGTGCCAGCCGCCACAACATATTCCGGACAGGTCGATACCAATGGGAGATAGGCTGGACGAAGCAATTGCCAGAAACGCAAAAGGCGGCCGGATCTGCCCAGACAATGAGAGAGAAGGAAGGGTTCGATGCCAGGTACCTACAGCAAATACAGCATGCCTAGCAACCTCGTACCAATTAGCAATGGCAACACCATGATGTAAGACCCTGCACGAGGTGCCTACCCATCTACCCTATCCCCAGAGGGATTTGCGGCCTCTTCCATTGAAGGATGGATGGGTGATTGGCTTATGGTCATGATGCCCACTCCTGGCAGGAGAAATTGCCCGTGGCTCTCGCAGGGTCTGGCGAAGCAGCCAATAACTTGGGCCATGTGCCACGCAGTTCCCCTCCTGACCTGCAGCGTCCTGCATATGACAGAAAGTTCTGATTTGAGACACTACTGAGGAGAAGTCGCCTCTGGAGGAGGGTGTGGTGGGTTGTGTATGTACAAGTAATTGCACCGACAGGCATGGGCAGTTGCTGGGGGTTGCAAATGAATGGATATGAGGAGCCCACTCCTCGATGCTAAGACGTTGTAGTGCATTCTGTAACTCACTCGAGCCGTTGGATTTTTTTCGGGGTGGTGGCCCAAGAGGTGCAGAGACATGATAACTGCCATAATTATGCCCGACCAGTTTTATGATAGGCAGTGCATCTTTGCCCTGTGATTCGCCGGCTGAAGGGGGGCGAAAGATAACACTGGAGAGATTTGAATGAACATCGAATAGCGATACCCCACGCGGTTCCAATGTCGAGCAGACAGTCTCAAAATGCAGGGGACCCGTCGAAAAAGGGAGGCAAGTCCTTCAGACACTTACAGCCGATCCATATGATTCGATGATGGTAAATTGGACGGAGAGTGGGTGAGCGGGTGGAAGCGAAGGACAGAATCCTCGACGCCCAGCAGAGAGAACAAAGAAGATATCGGAAGAATGCTCAATGCCCAGCTTGGTTTCAAAGAGGAACAATCCGGACTCGGCTGGCACGGGCTGAGAGGAGGTGCCCTGTTGACTGGGGGCTGAGCAAGCCACAGAGGCATGTGGACTAGAAGAAAATGACTGAAACGGCAAAGCTGCGAGATGCAACGAAAATTTCTCCCAAAACAGCCCAGACTAGAACGAATGTCGAGAAACGACGGATGGGCAAATGCAGAGGCCAGAAACACCTGATCGACACAGGCGAGCGCCGGACAAGGCGACACTGGAGGGCATTGAGCAACCGCCATGGGAAAAGACGACAATCCCCATCCATGCCGAAGAGAGAGGGTGGAGGGTGGAGGGTGGAGGGTGGGAGTGGGAGTGGTGCACCAGCAAGACCAGGCGACTGACCACAGAGGGCGTAACGCACGACGCAAAAAAACGAACCACGCACCGGACCACGCAACGCACCACCCACGAGCCAGCGTCTGCTGGGCGAAAACGAACAGGCGAGGCAAAAATAAAGTGGGCAGTTTCTGCTGCCGTCGCTGCGAGAGGAGGGAGCACATGCGAGAGTGCAGAGTGTGCAGAGTGTGCAGAGTGACTCTCGCTCCTAGCCGCTCTTAGCATGAAACTATACCTCTCCAGGCCAGCCCACACCATCTCATCAGTCTCGTCAGTCTCTCGGCCACTTGCTCGCTCCCTCAGGCCAGAAGAAGGCCAGCCCACTTCTCCGCTTCGTCGCAGGAGGAGCAGTTGCAGTATCTTCAGAGGTTGTGAGAGCGAGAGGGGAGTGGATGCTGCGTGCATGCGTGCTATGCGTGGTATCGACACTCCCTCCTCCCTCCCTCTCAATCTCCCAGGCCTTCTCCACATACGCCATCGCTGATGACCAGTCAGGTCAGTCAGTCTCGCCCTTGTGCCATTTCCTCGCGCAGGCAAGCCATCGATCCACGCCCCTCCTCACAACCTTGAAGGTTCCTTAGCACTGCTAGCGCTGCTTGCGGCATGCTGCCCCACTCCAGCGTCAGGTCACCACCCCCCTCCCCCTGCGACTGATGAAAAAGCACAGAAAAATTTTCTCATCTTCAGGCCACACCCTCCCCCCCAGTTGCCCTCCCAGGCTGCTACGAGCAAGCCAGACAACGCCAGAAAAGGCCACCCTTGCACCACCTCTTTTTCTTGCAGACACACCCTCCACTCACTCGATCCCCCCCCTCCCATCGCCCCCCATGGCGCAGAATGCAGGCATTGGCGCTACTTCAAACATGGCATAGTCTCTGCGGCTACCACACCCCCCTCTTCACTCCCCATGCTGGTCCTTCCTGGATCGACCTGTACTCTGCTCTCTCGTAGCCTGCCACGTAAATTGCCCCGCAGAGATACCTGTCTGGACGGTGCCTGCGCACCTTGGAGGCACCAATGCACCAATGTCTTAGTGCGTCTCCTAGTGTGGGACTGGGGGCCGTCAGCAGGCCCTCCCCATCTCTAACCAGCCTGATGATGTACCTCTTTACACCATATGGTGCAATTCTTGCTCGATGTACAAGTTGCTGGTAGGACAGGGCCCCCGATGATATACAAAAGACACTGCCTGCTCCTCCTCTTGATCTCCTCTCCATCAACTTCTACAGCTTCACTCGACTCGACCATCTTGACATTGCTCATTGAGCTCCAAGGCTACTTGGGATTCTCTCTCTTGACTCATCCGAGAAAGCCCTTTCTGCTCTACACTCACCTCTCCGGCCCTCTGCAGCGGTATACTACGCTTCGCCGTCGAACCTCCTCCTCTACCACCGTTCCTCTTGACAACGCTTTTTGTTGTCACCACAACCCAATTCACCATCATGTCTTTCGACCTCGAGTGGGACCACCAGTTCTGCCTTGCCTGCGACAAGCAGACAGACGGTGCCACCTACTGCTCCGAATCCTGCCGCCTGGCAGACTATGAGAAGACGTCTGGCTCCAGCTCAGGTGCGAGCTCGCCGGCCCTGAGCGGACCCTCGTACCCGTGGGCTGCATCGAACTCCAAGTTCCGCCTCACACCCGCCTACGACTTCACCAACGCCCAGCCCTACAGCGCTGTCTCCTTCCGCCAGTCGGCCGCTCCCTCTCCCCGCCTCCGATCTTCGCTCTCGCCCTCGAGCTCCCAGAGCAGCCTCTGCTCCCTGAAGAGCAGCTCATCAACAGCAACCGAGGCGTCACATCTCTCGGCCAAGGCCAAGAAGGAGCTGCGAGACTACGCCAGCTCGTTCGAGCAGGCCAGACTGCAACGCCGACGCTCGTACTAGATCAATCACCGCCAGCCCGTCGTCTGATTATCTGCATTTCCTGTTTTACTCGATACCCCCTCATCTCAATCGACTTCTTGAACACCTCGACGACGAGGACGGCCTGGCTTGCTACGTTTCATCCATTCCACTTCTCAACACGACAACATTTCGATCGTACTACTACTACTGCTACCACCACTACTACTTCCACCTCTTCTTTGTTGTAACACGAAACGGCATCACATCGGAGCATAGCATCAAAAAAAGTTTTGGGTCAACTTGGGATATAACTCTGTGATTTTTATCGCGCACACCACTGCGCGGGGCGTCTGAACCGGTATTCACGGACACTTTTTGCGAGAAATTGTATCACGATACACTTGGGCGAAGATCATACCCTGCTACACTACATGGCATATCAACTTGATGGCTGTGGCGGGACTTGCTTTTTGCGAGGCATGGCATAACAAGCGTGATCGGGCAATGGTCCTGATTTTGGATACGTTTGGGAGAACCCACGACATGGCGTTGTTGGGACATTGAGTTAGGTCATTGTCCGCCTGTTTTTAGGATACCTGTATGAGAGAAAGACTCCGGCACGGCCTCACAGACTTGAGCCTCGGAGCAACTGGTTGTCAAAACGAGCAACCTTTCACAATCAATGAGAAACACCAGGCCAGATTTGGCTCACGGTCAACAACATTCATCAGTTTTTTTTTTTGTGCTCCCCAACATTCCGTGCATGTCTGCCTGTATCCATCTACCGTGCATTGACCAGCTCCATTATGACTCTTCCTCCCTTGACTCCTGGTTGAAATTTTGCTGCACCAGCACTAAGACGTCAGTTCAGTCCGACGATGGGGCCATTCTATTTAGGTGCCGTTCCACTCTCCCCACGTACATGGCGCTCGTGCTGTTTCCGCACTCGGGGGGGCGCCCCCCTGGACACACGGAAAGGTGCACAAATGCCGTGCAACTCTGATTTGGAGGCTGCGCTTTGAATGCTCCCCTATCTGCGCTTATACGAACGCGCATGCAATTGCAAGAAGGGGTCCCGGAATTTCACTCATACAATGCGCCTGATGGAGAATTTCTGCAAGGTTACCTTCCCTACGGGGCCGGGGAGCATTGAGTTCAGCACTTACAAATCTGGGACCGGGGGTTGTGGGTGTTGCGTGTGGACGAACAACGTTTTGGTACCTTGCGTGATCCCGTCACGTCTACAAAGTCTAATGATCATGGCTCCAGGGCAAGGCAAGTAAGGTTCAGGCACTTGGCACCGCAACACGCACTCACCGAAAGGGAAGGGGGAAAAATTGGCAAGGCGTCTCGTCTATTGTTGCAAGTGTCACCACTCAACCACGCACTTTGTGAGTCTGGGGTCAAGTGGTCATCGAAGATTTTCGAGCTAGCATGTTAGTGAGAGTTCGGCGGCGGTTCTGGCCTTGGCCTTATGAGGGCGCTAAAAACCATAAGGTGTCTGGGGCTGGTGGTGGTGGTGTGGTGTCTGCCACAGGAAGTCGAACCAAGTGCAGGTCCCGAGACTCTATAAGCAGAAGTACGGCAAACTCTAACTTGACTCAACCACCACCAGCGGGGTTGGCTGTTAGAGACGGGGTAGCACATGCTTGAATCTTCGCTGTTTCACCCCCAGAGAGGACCTGCAGACTGGCCCTTTCGCTCCAGTCCGAGAAGCTAGACTGCCCACGGGACAGACAAACAACTAAACATAGGCTTGGACTTGGAGATAGTTACGGAGTCAACTGCCCGGGCTCTCCCCACAGAGCTACAGGCGAGAGTGGCAAAACCCCAGAGGAAGCCACCCGAACTTTGTTTGCTTTAGTGACTGGAGCTGGGGGTTCTGATGCTGTAGCACACTTCTTACAGGGCAAAGGGGAGAGAGTCTAAGGGGAGACCGTTTCCAGTCAATCAGGAGAATTGGGTGCTGACCATGGCACAACATGCTGGCTTCAAACTCTGTTCGGAAAGGGGTTTCCTGACCTTCTCAGTGGTTTTTTCACACCCTTCTCCGCTGCAGGTACCACTGAGATCGAACGATCTTGGAAAACGGGGTCCTGTTCTGGAAAGAAATCAATCTGGCGATGCGGTGCAGGTGACGGGCCCCCTTCGATGCCAACGGATCTCGTCTCCATTCAATGTTGCCCTTGCCCAGAGCCGGACCACCGTCGCATACACACCCCCCTCCCCCCTTCCCTGTAAACACAGGCACCGTAGGCGCTCGCTAACAGGGCACTAGTCGCCTGGAGAAAATTTCGCTGGCCTTCTGCTGCCTTCCCCTAGGTGCCCTGAGGGGGCCTGCTGAGATTAATTTGCAAGGGAGGCGATGACTCCCTATCGGAGTCATCGGCACATCTCGATCATTCCTCGTAGCAAAAATACAAAATATTGAATGAAAAAAAGTCTTCACCATACTCCGTACGTCGTGCCGTAAGTGGGATGACCAAGGGACCCAGGTAAGAACGTACGTACTCTAATTTGACAGAGGTATGTGCGGTGATGAAAATTTTCTAAGAATTTCTTTCCAAATGCCCTGCGCCTTTCATTTCGCTCCATTGTTGAAGCCTGGTCGTCGTGTGTTGTTCGGTGAGCACACATTCCTCGGGACACACCGTCTTTGGCCTGGCCGTTTCGCTGGTTTCTGGCCTGGGAGGTCCACCGCAGTGCCGGTATCTCTGGCTCTTCCCCCATTCCAGCGGTGCCACGTCTTGCATGAGGATCAAGGTCCCAGCCCAAGGCTCCGTCTCGGGTCTTTACACTGTTTCAGAGACGGCTAGTCTGTATGGATCCCCAAAATAGAAGACAAATTTTCTCGTTCTTTTGTTGTGTCCGTAGGCTTGCTCCTTGCTTGAGGCTCTTTTCGAGGCATGCTGATCCTTGAGGGCAAAGCGGAATCCTTTCCCCGATCCTGTCACGACTACGGAGTAGTCTAACTACCGCAGCACCGGGGTGAGAAACGCAGATGAGGTGGCCCGGCATGAATTCCACGGAGGAGCCTCCGTCTCCAGTGAGGGCACCACTTGGTCACATCAGCGTTCCATCATGGGCGATGCCAGGACGTCAGGAGGCTCACACTAGCCTGCAAGCTATCTTGCGGTACTTGCGGGACTGCCGTGAACTGTACATTTTTAGCTGAAGACTAAGCCCGACAAAGGTCACTGCTGATACCCCAGAACGGAACCAGTGAACTTAATCAGTCGTCTCGAAACCAGCCCCAAGCTCTACTTGTACGGTAGTTCTAACATCTTTACTTGTACAACAGGGCCGTTCTGAATAACAATTACTCACCAAGGCTCTCTTCCATCTTGTCCATACCTGCCCTATCTTGCATCGAAAGATGTGGCCGTTTCAGGGATAGGCAGGGCGGCTGAGGATGGTGTCAGCCGGCGTCGTATCAGTCTTTTTGATGTGCTCCAAGTGCTCTACAAGTACGAGGCTGGCAATGAGGGAAAAGCAAAGTAGAGTCCGGCACACGGAGACAGGCCTTTCGATGTGGCCCTGTCAGCCTGCGGGCACAAAAAGGAAAGTGATCGACCTGTCTTGCAAATGCCGAACATCTTGCTTGCATGGGACCGTTTCCAAGGATTAATCTATTTCTAACTCTGGCACCTGGTGCTTTTGTTGTTCCTGGTTCCCTGTCGCTATGCTGACACCTGGCAATCCTGCAAACCTTGAGGTGAGAGAGACTGGCAATTGGCTGGATTGGGCAATTTGTGTACAGCCTAGCGTTCGACCATGTTTCATCTTTGCGAGCCAACTCCAACAACAGTTCTAAAGGGTCTGGAAGGACAAGGCCAAAGGGCCCGGTGGAGTGCCGTTAAGAGGGAGCCCATTAAGGATTCGGAGGGGTTCTGCTTCCTGATGCAAGTGATGAAATGCCGCAGCCAGTCACGGCGAGGTACAAGTTGTTCGCACTTGAAACAAAACAATCATCTCGGTCCTTCAAGCAAGGGAGTTGTGGATATGCCATCTTGCCTACTGCGTATCGAGCAGGCCTTTGTAGGTGATTGTGATCCTGTCCCTTGTGCGTGATCCTTGGGAACGGCCCCATATCGCTCAAGAGCCGGATGTTCATCCTCAATATCCGGACACCATGGCCCTGTTTCTACCTCGTCGATTCCCTTGGTTTCAACAGGTTTAAGCAATATCGTGCCGCTCCCGGCAAGATAGTCGAACGGCCAATCTCGTCGATCAGTCCATCTCGATGTAACACGGCCCTCCCCCACCCAAGGCAAAGCTTCGCTGTTGGATGGACCACTCTCCCGAGAACCAAACTTCATGTCTCATGGAGTCGTTGTGCGCACCACCTGCTGCCGCTCTGGTACACGTAACAGCAGCAGTCGACAACGCACAACACACGATATTTCTCGGTACCGGACGAGGGCCCCCCACCGTAAGTCAAGGGAGAAGTGCATGATATTGACAGGGCTGCATCTTAACTCGGAGAATTTTTCAGGTTCTCGGTCCCCCAGTGGCTCTGTCGTTCCTTGTCAGAAGCAAGCACCGTACGACGTATTGTGAGAATTCAGGCTGAGACGCAAGCGAAAAGAAAAAAGACGTGTCAACCTGTGAGCACTTGTGTCCACCATGCATCGAACTCCACAGTTGCGGCAACTCTGTATACTCCGTATGGGAGCGTGCCGTTAACCTAATCGCTGTCTGCGGAGTACATTAGGGAATCGATGGATCATGCCTGTTGGCTCGCATGTTAGTGCCGGGCGCCAATGGACGAGAAAAAAGAGCTCTTATTTAGTACCATCTGACAACAAAGCTCTCTATTCACCACTGTCATGAAACGTACGACTGCGGAGCCCGTACGACAGCTTCAGTGGCCGGCAGAGCACGATCGAAAACATCAGGCACGAACCTTGCCGTCCCGATGAGCCAAGCAGCACCTCGTCCCATGTAATACCTGATTGCCAGGCAGGGCACACTCACTGCTCACTGTATGTACGGTATTCTCACGGAGAGTCCACTCTTCTGCCCGGTCTCTCCCGCCA